TATCTATAGACCACTTAATCCATAGGGTCGCTCACTATCCCCGCTCACTCAAGTCCAGATGATGATGTCATGGCCGTGGAAACTTTTAATTAAGTTAATTGACAACATTTGAATTAATTGGAGGCACACCTGTGGATGTATTTTAAGGCACACCTCAAACACGCTGCTTCCTTTTGTGACAACATGGAAAATCTAAAGAAATCAGCCAAAATATCAGGGAGAGAATTGTGGACCTCCACAAGTCTGGTTCATCCTTGGGTACAGTTTCCAGATGCCTGAAGGTTCCACATTCATCTGTTCAAAATCTGAACAAAAGCTAAAGACCTTGTAAAGATGCTGCTGAAGCTGGTCAGAGAGTCATTATCCACAATGAAACCAGTCCTGTACCGACATGGGCTGAAGGCTACTCAGAGAGGAAGAAGACATTACTCCAAAAGCAACATAAAAAGCCAGATAACAGTTTGCAAATGCACACAGAGACAAAGACCTTCATTTGTGGAGACATGTCCTGTGGTCTGATGAAGCTAAACTGAACTGTTTGGTCATAATGACCATCGCTACATTTAGAGGAAAAAGGGGGAAGCTTGAAGCCTGAGAACATCATCCTAACTGTGAAGTACGGGGGTGGCAGCATCATGTTGTGGAGGTGTTTTGCTGCAGGAGGGACTGGCGCACTTCACAAAATAGATGGCATCATGAGGAAAGAACATTATGTGGAAATATTGAAGCAACATCTCAAGACATCAGCCAGGAAGTTAAAGCTTGGTCACAAATAGGTCTTCAAATGGACAATGACCCTAAACATAGCGCAAGATTAGTTAGAAAGTGGTTTAAAGACAACAAAGTCAATGTTTTGTAGTGGCCATCACAAAGCTCTGATCTCAATCCTGTATAAAGTTTGTGGGCAGAGCTGAAAAGGTGTGTGGAGCAAGACGGTCACCAAACCTGACTCAGTTCCACCAGTTCTGTTGGAGGAATGGACCAGAATTCATCAAACTATTGTGAGAAGCTTGTGGAAGGAAAATATTTGACCCAAGTCATACAGTTTAAAGGCAATGCTACCAAATACTAAGGAAGTGTATGTAAACTTCTGACTTTGGACAAAGTAACAGAAAATTCTTTTTTTTTTTTTTTTTAATTCTTTCTCTCATTATTCTGGTGTTTAGCAAATAGAAATAATGTTGGTAATCCTAACTGACCAAAAACAGGAAAAGTTTAGTCTGATTTAATGTCAGATAGTGAGAAATAAAAGATTTTATGTCTTCTTATACAGTGTATGTAAATTTCTGGTTTCAACTGTATCTGTAAAATGGTGGATTTATTTTTTATTTGATGATTCAAATGGAGTATAATAGTGTAATTTTACCTTCAATGCTTGTTAAAGAAGAATTGCTTTCTGTAAAAATAT